GAGGCGCCAAAGATAGTAGGTATAACAGTTGTACATTGGTATATTATCCAACCGATCTGGACTTACCTATGTGAAATTATAATAATAATTAATAACTTTTGTGACGGATTTTCAGATGAAGCTTATTAATATACAGTACGAGTACTTTGATTTGCCACAATTTCACTGTTTTAAACCTATGGCGTCATTTGAAAAAAAAATCCAAAAATGATAAATATTTTTTTCTCTCATTAATAACTTTTGTGACGAATTTTCAGATGGGGCATATCAATATACAGTACGAGTACTTTGATTTGTTAGGATTCATCGATCAAAACCTATGGCGTCATATGAAAAAAACTTCGGAAAATGATAAATATTTTTTCTCTCTCATCAATAACTTTTGTGACGGATTTTCAGATAAGGCATATCAAATATACAGTACGAGTACTTCGATTTGCCAGAATTTCATCGATCTAAACCTATGGCGTCATATGAACAAAAATTCGGTAAATGATAAATATTTTTTTTCTCTCATTACCTAATAACTTTTGTGACGGATTTTCAGATGAAGCTTATCAATATACAGTACGGGTAATTTGATTTGCCAGAATTTCACTGTTATTCTAAACCAATGGCGTCAGGTGAAAAATAAATCCGAAAATGATAAATATTTTTTTTCTCTCATTAATAACTTCTGTGACGGATTTTCAGATGAAGCTTATTAATATACAGTACGAGTACTTTGATTTGCCACAATTTCACTGTTCTAGACCTATGGCGTCATTTGAAAAAAAAATCCAAAAATGATAAATATTTCTCTCATTAATAACTTTTGTGACGAATTTTCAAATGGGGCATATCAATATACAGTACGAGTACTTTGATTTGCCAGGATTCATCGATCAAAACCTATGGCGTCCATATGAAAAAAAATCGAAAAATGATAAATATTTTTTCTCTCTCATCAATAACTTTTGTGACGGATTTTCAGATAAGGCATATCAATATACAGTACGAGTACTTCGATTTGCCAGAATTTCATCGATCCAAACCTATGGTGTCATATGAACAAAAATTCGGTAAATGATAAATATTTTTTTTTTCTCTCATTACCTAATAACTTTTGTGACGGATTTTCAGATGAAGCTTATCAATATACAGTACGGATAATTTGATTTGCCAGAATTTCACTGTTCTAAAATCTAAACCAATGGCGTCAGGTGAAAAATAAATCCGAAAATGATAAATATTTTTTTTCTCTCATTAATAACTTTTGTGACGGATTTTCAGATGAAGCTTATTAATATACAGTACGAGTACTTTGATTTGCCACAATTTCACTGTTCTAAACCTATGCGTCATTTTAAAAAAAAATCCAAAAATGATAAATATTTCTCTCATTAATAACTTTTGTGACGAATTTTCAGCTGGGACATATCAATATACAGTACGAGTACTTTGATTTGCCATGATTCATCGATCAAAACCTATGGCGCCTATGAAAAAAAAATCGGAAAATGATAAATATTTTTTCTCTCATCAATAACTTTTGTGACGAATTTTCAGATAAGGCATATCAATATACAGTACGAGTACTTCGATTTGCCAAAATTTCATCGATCTACCTAAACCTATAGCGTCATATAAAAAAAAATTCGGTAAATGATAAATATTTTTTTTCTCTCATTAATAACTTTTGTGACGGATTTTCAGATGAAGCTTATCAATATACAGTACGGATGATTTGATTTGCCAGAATTTCACTGTTCTAAACCAATGGCGTCAGGGGAAAAATAAATCCGAAAATGATAAATATTTCTTTTCTCTCATTAATAACTTTTCTGACGGATTTTCAGATGAAGCATATCAATATACAGTACGAGTACTTTGATTTGCCAGAGTTTCATCGATCTAAACCTATGGCGTCATCTGAAAAAAAATCCGCAAATGATAAAAAAAATAATTCTCTCATTAATAACTTTTGTGACGGATTTTCAGATGAGGCATATCAATATACACTACGAGTACTTCGATTCGCCAGAATTTCATCTATTTCATCTAACCTATAGGTTTAGATCGATGAAATTCTGGCAAGTTAAAGTACTCGTACTGTATATTGATATGCTTCATCTGAAAATCCGTCACAAAAGTTATTAATGGGAGAAAAAAATATTTATCATTTTCGGATTTTTTTTTCATATGACGCCATAGGTTTAGATCGATGAAATTTTGGCAAATCAAAGTACTCGTACTGTATATTGATATGCTCCATCTGAAAATCCGTCACAAAAGTTATTAATGAGAGAAACAAAATATTTATCATTTTTGGATTTGTTTTCTCACCTGACGCCATAGGTTTAGAACCATGAAATTCTGGTGAATCAAAGTACTCGTACTGGCTCTGAGTATGCTCCCAGCAGTGACAACAGTTCTGCAGATGACACAAGTATTGAAGCAGGAACTCCAAAACGCAAACGGTTACGATTGATAGGTAAAATAATCTATTTATTCATTCATTCATTCATTTATTTATTCATTCATTCACTAATTAATTCATTTACTCACGACAAACCCCTTTTATATTATTACATTTTTACGAACTTGGTAAGAGTTAATTTTCGAATATTCGAAAATGTGGGGGTTTTATTTGAAAGATCAAGTTGAGTTTCCTTCAGGTTGCCAGAATTTCTGAAGTGTTCTCGTTGTATACGGCGACTCACTAGTTCTTCAAATTATTTCTAGTAAAAGTGGTCTTTCATCTGTTACAGAACTTTCCCCTGGTCAAGCTGCAGTAAAAAGACCATGGGAAACACCAGAGAGGCAAGCTGCGAGAAGAATTTTTGTACATCATCTCGAAAAAGGGATCATACCAGCACCTTCCGAAATTGGAGGGTTAGTCAGTGGTTGCGAAGAACTCAGGAGACACACTGTTCCACAAATTAAAATGTGGCTGGCAAACTCACAGTCTCGGACAGGTGCGTACAAAAATTTTTATATACAGTGTGGTCATTTAAGTGTGCAACATATGGGCGATTTTTTAATTAATTGCACATACAAAATACAAATATTGCCGAAAGTTAGTGCATGTTCGATAATCATATTAGGTGCACCTAGAATGATTCCAAGTCAAACAGTATACAGAGTAGATAGAAAAATATGAAAATTGTTCATGGGTAAAGTACCCTTATTTTAGAGAATTCAGCAAAATGTTATTGAAAAATGTTGTTAACAATAAAAAGTTATACCTAAATACCAGAACACAACCTCCTAAGATCTATTTTGATTATTATTTTATGTTTGTCAATTAATTTGAACAGTTTTTTAATAAACATTCGAAATGAAAATTATCCACTTTAAATGGGAGTTTTCTAATATGCATGTTGCTATAACTGATGATTCAACTGATCAAAGAGAATGTTTGCAAAATTTCAAAGTTGCGTTCAATATCGTTGCAACAAACGTGAAGTTTGTGATTCCCTAAGAACATTAAAATCCAAGTAAATTTTACAAATTAATATGCTTGAATTTGAAGAAAATTATGCTCAATTGATTTTATTTTGAATAATTCCTGACAGTGATGAGGGTGAATATGAAAAAAAATGTTTTTTGAGAATTAATGAATCTTTTTTTCAAAAAATTCAAAAAATCCGTAGGAGGCCATGTTTTTATATTTAGTCATAACTTTCAATTCTAAACAACATTTCCTCATGACATTCTATTGTTATTTCTAAGATAAGGGTACTTCACTCTTGTACACTTTTTATATTTTTTGACTTACTCTGTATGCTGTTTGACTTGCAACCATTCTAAGTGCACCTAATATGATTGTCAAACATGCACCAACTTTTGGCAGTACTTGTATTCTGGTTGTGCAGTTAATTAAGAAAATTCCTATATGTTGCACACTTAAATGACCACACTGTATATTTATATAAATGAGGAAAATTGCCCATTCAGAAAAAAACATAACTTTATCTTGAACAAAAATAACTTTGCAACAAATCATTTCAAAGGTTAAACATGACAACATGAAGCCGTTTTCGAGTTATTAGCGATTATTTATAAAAAATGCCGAATTTCAAGATGTCGTACATTTTTTAGCGATTTCTGCCGAACGATTTTGTGGGGACTTTGAGTGTTATAACACAGCCCCCGAGGTATATAATTCTGTTCAGAAACCTCTGTATTCAATTTTTTCCATTTTCTGGGTATAATCGGCCTAGAATGGGGTACTTGGCACTCGCATGTTCCATCACAATTTTCTATATAAGAATTAAGATTGCAACTCAAAACTCCCACTTTTTGACGTAATTTCCATTAAAATCTTCTGTTTCAAGTTGTAATCTGATTCTTGTATAGAAAATTGGGCAAGAAAATGCGTAGTGTCATACGGGCTTTACACATAGACTGTCATGAATTCTGCAATGTGAAAGAGATATCTATCATAACTGAGTCAATGAACAAATCAGTTGAGTCATCAGAGTAAAACACATAATGATCCTTCCACTCCATCAAATCAGCCAGTTTGAAGACTATATTTCGAACAGAATGAGTAATTAATGTTTGTCATTATTGAGGAAATATATAATTTTATCATTGAAATTTTCCAGGTTCCATACCGGGCGATCCGTAACCAATTCCCCCCCCCCCTGTATCTTCGTTGCTATTTTGTATGGATGTTTCAAATTTGGTACATCGATTTGATTTCATGAGTGTATAATTTCGCTACTATCAGACCAAATATGACATTTCCGGTTTTTCATTTTGTCATATTTATGTATAAGTAGATTGTGGATTGAAAGTATGGTTATGGTATATTGTTGGAAAGGTAATTGTATACTGAATCATTAATTTAAAGAATATATAAACGTTGTATTTGAAATAAAAAAAATTGGACTTCCGGTCAAACTGAAAGTGTCATATTTGGTTATACTTATGAAATCAAATCGATGTAAAGGTCTTCACATTTATTTTGAACCCCCTCTTAACTTTTTCATTTATTTTTCAATTTTTTTTTATATAACGTCTTTCATAATATTTATTATAGATTTTATATACAGGGTGTTTCACAGTGGATGGAACATTAGAAGTATCTGGAGAACAGAAGGACAGATCATTTCGAGAATTTGTGAGCGTGGATGATGAAACATGCTCTATTCTTCTAAAATACTTTTATATATATACAGTGTTGCCGCTTGTATCCCAAAGTAGTAGCTCCTTTGTTATTTCAAATGGAACACCCCATACATTATATCATTTTTGGGCCCAATACCCAGAAAAATATCATGTTGTTTTTGCCAAATAAAAGGTGTAAATGTAGCAACATATAATAAATTCGATATTTATACTTCACCTACCGAAAACGAGGACATTCTTCATTGTTGCAGGCAGCAATAAGGTTGTTGTCGTTCTAACTGCTGCTGAATATTTTGACGTTTGTTCTCTGTTATCATTGTTAATTTTTTTGGGGAAATTATGTCACAAACATTCACCATATCTGGAGATTTCAGTGTTTTGAGTGCAGACTTTTATCCACCTATTGAATTGGATGCGAAGAATACTTACTGTTTGAGGTTGCACGGTTTCTATTCATACAACTCTATACTCAATATAGATGAATCGAATAACAAATTAGGTTTTTGTGTCGGGGGAGTGGATTCCTCAGATTCCACCAAATGTAAAACCGAGATTATACATATACCCCCTGGCGTTAACGAAATTGATGAAATTAATGAAAGTCTACAAAAAGCTTTACCACACACTACATCATCGGGTGAGCAAAATTATGATGATGATATGTTCTCTCTCCATGCTAATAATAATACACTCAAATGTGAAATGAAGTCTAAGTATGGAATTGATTTGGTGGTGAAAAATTCCATAGCTGAAGTGTTGGGATTCGAATCAAAATTTTACCAACCTAATATATTGTATGAATCTACATTACCTGTGAATATTATAAAGGTACGACTCATACGAGTTGACTGTAATATCACCACTGGAGCATACCTCGATGACGAGGAGGTACACACGCTTTACGAATTCGATATTGATGTGGAACCTGGATATAGACTTTCGATGGAGCCGAAAAATATAATATATCTACCGATCAGTCCAACTGGGCATCAGTCTATCGACAACATGACACTGAAAATTTTGTATGATAATGGCCATTTAGTTGATTTTAGAGGAGAGAAGATAATAGTAAAGTTAGAATTGAAACAGCTTGATTAATATTTTCACAACGATTTCCCTAAAAATGGGGTTCTGTTTCGGGAACCAATCAAAGCGTGTATCGCTCACAACGAATACCAATATCCTACGTTATTGCAGCAATATCAATAAGAATAAATGTAAGCAGGGAAGAGGGTTCATTCGTAGACAGTTTCCCGGTCGAGCAAGACATCATAAATTGTCAGCGAGCGATATAATTTTTTTGAAATCTATTGGTTTGAATGTGCGAAGAAGGAGCAAAAATTAACAAAAAAAAATGGTTGTCACAACATCTACCAGCATTCAATTGGCAGTATTTGATGAACCAATTTTCGACCACTCGCTAATTAGCCTACATGAGCATACATACAAGCCGTATGGGTCGCCCTCATTCAAAAATTCCGATGAAATAAGAATAGCGGTCAATTTTCAAGATCTCATACTCAACATTTCTGAAAGTTACATATATATTGAAGGAAAATTTACACCTACTGATTTGACGAAAACATGTTATCTATCTAACAACGCTTTAGCGTTTCTATTCGACGACGTTATGAAATTGGAGGTGAACAAGTATGTATGATTCGGAAGCCAGGCATTACTACAACCATGAAGACTATGGTCTCTTATGGTGAGTCTAACTCAAAATTTTTGGAAACGGTTGGGTGGGGACTAGACAATGAAAATCAACCGATACTAGACAAATCCAGCTATGTATTCAGTGGAAAACTACCGCTGAAATGTTTGATGGGGTTCGCAGAGGACTATAGTAGGGTCATCTTGAACGTGAAGCAGGAGCTGATACTCATCATAGCACGCTCGTTCAAAAACTCATATATTGGAGAAGTTGATGCGAATGTGAAGATTGATGAAATTGAATGGAGGATAGGACACATTATGCCGTCAGATAAACAGAGATTGAAACTATTGAATCGTCTGAATGAAAGTACAACAACCAAGGTTAAAATAGGGTACAGGATGTGGGATTTGTATGAACTACCAGCCATTCGTGAAACATCTTCAGACATTTGGGCTGTGAAAACTACCAATAGTCTCGAGCGGCCACGATATATTATCATAGGTTTCCAAAACTCTGATAATGCAGATGATAGATCTAAGGATGTCACACAATTCATAAATGCCGGAGTCAACAATATTCGACTATATTTAAATTCTGAAGTTTATCCATATGAGCGTTGGAATTTGGATTTTGAGAAGAAATTGGACTCTGTAGCATATTATGCATATGATAATTTCCAACGTAGTTATTATGGTAAAGATATGGGTGAACCAATGATGAGTATTGGGGAATTCAGAAAGAACCCGTTGTTTATCATAGACTGTAGCCACCAACCGGATGCCATGAAATCCTCAACTGTTGATATCAAGTTGGAGTTCGAGACTCGCAAAGTGAAATTTCCTTCAAATACCAAGGTATATGCATTAATTCTTCATGATGCATACCTGACATATAGCGCATTGGATGGTTCCGTACATTTAGGTACTCCATAATAATGTTACTACATTTACCTATTGTTATCATTATTATTATTAACATTCACTGTATCTGTATCGAATTGAATAAAACCCAACAAATTCGCTACAAATCATTGTTTTATTTTTATCCCAATAAATTATTTGAACATATTCATTGTGAGGTATATCATTTTACTCATAGAAAATCATCTGAATATACAATTATAATAACTATTATTATTATGAGAGACCGATGAAGGTCCGTCAGCATTTTCCTTCACTCGATTCTTCTTCTTCTTCTTTTTCTTCATTGTTGAATACTTCTGGAATTACTCCCAAGTTGTACTTCCGTATGAGACTGTTTGGTAAGAAATCAAAAATTTCATAAAGAAATTGTTCCAATTCATCCCCCACCATTGCTTCAGGAATTCCTCCAAAGTGAAGTGGCCCTTTTCAAACCGTGCACATAATATATGACCCGTCCTATATTGTTTAGCCTGTTTGTATTGGCGGTGAACTTCTTCTTGGTCGTTGCATACACTTAAATCATAATTTGCTGCATGGAGTATATCACGTTCCAGGTCGGAGAATTGGTATTTCAACCTGCTCACTGCTGATTTGATAACTTCTGCTACTGGCCAAGATTGCATAGAATAATGCATCCAAATGTTGGGAAGCAGATGTCTATAAATAAAAAAACATTTCATAGTAATGCTTCAGGTTATAGAAGAATTTTTTTCTCCATTACTGCATAAATAATAATCTGCATTAATGGTTTACGATAGAGTGATGCCGTTGCAATGTAAGAATTATTATATGATTTTTATACCCTTTTCACTATACTATATTTAAAGAATACCTATCAAATAAAAGAGGAGTCATATTTTTTTCATTTTTGCTTGAAGTCAAACTTGATGAGAGCCCTCGATTTTGCATCTACGAATAATGGTTCACTCTGTCCCAAATAAGTTAAAGTGTAAAGGTCCTTGGAAGAATTCATCTCGGTAACACTACCACTACCACACCACCACCAGTACCACTTCTACCAAACCTGGTTCCGCATAGGGATATTTTATTGATTAAATAGCTCTTATTCAAGGGTAGCGATGAAATTACAATTTGCTTCATAATTTCATCGTCTTCGTTAATTCTATTATTAATTGCGACTAGATCAATTTTGGGAACTGCCATTTCAATATCTTTGTTGAGTGAAAGAAGGTATAAGAAACGTATAAGTAATTTTTACTAACATTGACAGGTGACACACAAACGCTATTATCGCACAAAATATATGTATCTCAGAAGGTTGTATGTTCGTTATTATTGCGAGACCTATGGTCTTGTTGTTGGAAAGTATCGTATTTATAGCAGCTGGAATATGAGACGTAACCTAACCCTACTACATGCAAGCACGCACAGCCCAAGGTCGCCCACGTTCAAGGCCTCCTCTCGCCCATGATCGTTTTCGATGAACCAGCTGCCCTCTTTGGATTTTTTCAAGGCCATCCACGCCCAGGTGCCCACTCCTCAAGGTCACTCCGCTCAAGGTCATCTAAATCAATGCTAATACGCCCAAGGTCACTCCTGTGGCCTTGGGCGGAGACTTACCTCTGGCTAATTCCTTCTACTCATATGATCGAAATATTGTTATGAAATGACACGTATGCATGATACACGGGTACCGTCAGTACCACACAATGTTCACCGTGTCATTCTGCAATACATTATTTATTCATCATACGTGAAAGAGAAATAATATAAGGGATGATTCCCTACAAACAATAATAATGGAAACCTTAGACATCTACTTACATTAATAACGCCATCTTGGAGAGGCCTGTCCTAAGCTCAGCACGTGAAGGCCTAACTTACTGATTACAAAGCGCGGATAGTAAAGATGAGCTAACGGTTAGCTAACTGGTAACTACCGACTCAAAGGTGACTAACCATTCTTCATCTTGATAATTCATATTTATCTGAATTATCAAGTATTATTATTGTAAGAAATATTTTCGGTATGCGGCTATCCGAGGTTACTTTAGTGGTCGCTTACCGAATTCAATGTCATGAACGTGATTAGAATGTTTGAAGATATTTGCTGTGATCTGTTGGGCACGGATTGAAAATTATAATAATGTATACGGAATGATTTTATTGTAATATACTTGATTGTGACAATATAACTGAAGTTATCGATGAAGGGTGAGGACAATAGACAAGGAAAGTGTGACGACACAAATATCATTCTTGTCGAAAACTGATTTCAAACAAAGAATTTGAGGTTACGTTGACGAATTCGATCATTTAGCTCATTATTTTGCGTTTGGTCGTGTGGATTTTTATTTCTCCGGTGAAAGAAGTTCGTTTTTGTATTAAAATTCTTTCTGAATATGACTGGAGCTGCTGCTAATAAAAACGTGATCAAAAAACGTGGAGGGATTGAAAGCTGTTTTGATTTGACACAGTTTTGTTTGGAATCTCTTTGCGACAATAATGACATCAGTGTGACGTTACGACTTCCCTCGTGTATGATGCAACTAACTATGCTGTGTTAAGACTTGTTTTTCGTCAGATTAATCCTGGCCACGTGACGGAATTTCGCGAGTAGATGGCAAGACAATAGTTTTTTGATACGTTCTTATTGAGATTTCAGTTCCATGTGGTTGACTGGTATTAATTAAGAGTGTGCCACGGTGAAGAGATTTTTGTTTCAAAAATAAAATTATTGGTGAGCATTTATAAATAATTAATAGATTTAATCGCCATCTGGTAGATTTCATTAGAAGCGGGGCTTCAGAATGAGATGGCTTAGCGCGTAAAATATATAGAAATACTTACCCTCAATCCAGTCGCAGATGTTCAAATAGTCACAAGACAGAGCACATACTGTGTTATGATTATTGCAAAATCATACACAAATCTTTTGTTCAAAGAGCAGCATACATTCATTAGATCATTCATTATACAGTTATTGGTGCGCTTAACTCTCATTTGAGAACTGATGAATACTGCTTGTTTGTTTGTTTGTTTTATCCGTCATTCGATAGCCCCCTTACGAGAAACTCTTAGAAGTCTTCAAGAGACTTGTGCGAGCAAGGAATGACGAGGGTCTTACCTTTTAACGTGTGATCTCAAACACTTTCTTAGGGTACTCAGAAAAATTCTGCAGTCATCGGGTATCGAACCTTGACTGGTTTTTTCAAGTGATTCGAGTACTGACCACTCAGCCAACGTACCCACGAAAATTGATGAAAATTAACAATGATTACAGTTGATTGAATTTTTGTTAGAAAACCATATTCGCCACCATCATATAAAAAAAATAGCAACTTGAAAGGAGTTAGCCCCCCATAGGATCATTTTTTAAATTCGTTATGAGCACAGGAAATACCGTATTACGTATACATGAAGGAAATAAAGTATGGTTGACTATGATACATCATATACACTTTTGAATAGAATTTACACGTTTGTGATTTTGTATATTGATGAAATTATTGCTAACCTGCTTCTCTTCTTCTTCTCTCCTTCGGATATCCTTGAGGATATTTTGAATATGCGGGGGAAAGTCCCCTATCACCCTGCTATATTGATTCTTCTGAATCTGCCTATATATAAGCATATAGGCATTGGTGCTGGAGCCACCATAAGTTTTTATGATATCTTCATAGGAGATCTGAAAATATGGTTGAAAAAATTTCATAAATTTATTTTCAACAATTAGAAGGCTCCTTTTTGTTTACGTTGCTTATAGCAACGGGAGATTATCGCGATAATTTTGTTAGTTCCTATTAAATTAATGGAATTAATAAGTGATAACTTTTCTGTGAAAAATGAAGCGCCTTATATCTATTGGAAAAAGTCACTCAGAATAAAATCAAAATACATTTTGTTGCTAACTTATAATTACGTTAACAAATGTTACAATTTCTCCTCATTTGTACAATTAATAATATTTTTCAAGATCCGTCACATTTTAGTAACAAAAAAGTGTTACTAAACGTCAAAGTAAAATTCTCTTGTGAAAATACAATGTTATATTTTTCTAAAATCATCAGAAATAATTTTTTTGAGCATTAGTTGAAACTATGTAGACATAATTTCAGATGTTATGGTTGAAAACGAATTAATGATTTTAATGTTCCTGCAATTTTAGTAATAGACTTTAGTTACTATCCAGTAAAATCGACTTCTATTGTAAAAATATAGTGCATCATATTTAACTAAACTCATCGGAAATATGTTTTTTTAAGTTTCATTTGAAACTAAGTAGACATGTAATATCAGATGTTATTAATATCAGGGTTCATCTTCTCATCATATTAAAAGCAACTCCAATTCATGAAATTTTCTTACCGAATCTCCCACGCAGCAGAATTAATTCCCGATAATAATTCTGCTGCTAGGGAGATTACAAGTGATTATTTCTTAGTGAGAATATTTCCCTCATATATAAAATGTCTCATAACAGCAATGCAATTATCGAAAAATTACAGCGGTAATTACACTGCAGAGCGAAGATTGCACTGCGAAAACATCCCATCGCCATAACAACACAAATAATACACAGGCTTTAAATAAATGCATTTCTTTGCTCTATGCTGACAATTACGACGCCAACGGGACTCGAACCAGCAATCTCTAGTTGATGAACGTTGCGATTTAGTCAACCAGTCAGAATACCAAAAACTTTTACAACTGCGTGTTCAACTGTAATTCTTGTCATTTCTAATTCGTGTTATGAAAATGAAATTGTTTAAAAGCGTGTCTTATAGCACATTTTATTTATAGTCTTTGTCAGTATTAGGATATTTCTCAGAAAAAAAAACATTTCTTCGAGAATTTCTTTCTTTTTTTTTTTTGACAAACACGAATTTATTTTTAATTTTCATCAACACATAGCAAGTGGACCGGCGGTTTCGATCTTATTAGATCTCGTCAGCACTGCATAATGTGTTGATGAAAATATCAAAATTCATTCGTGTATTTACTTTCTCATTCAGAGCATGAATGCATATAATGTACTATAATGATACTAACACCATCTGTGGACAATTCGCAGATTTAAAAAATAACTTTTTATTACGATCTCCGAATCTGGAGATGCAAGAAGTTACCAATCAAAAAAATGTCCTCTGTAGGTGAACGCCACCTTGAGCGATTAGGTTTTTGACAAACACGAATTTATTTTTCATTTTCATCAACACATAGCAAGTGGACCGGCGGTTTCGATCTTATTAGATCTCGTCAGCACTGCATAATATGTTGATGAAGATGCCACATCGATTCGTGTATTTACTTTCTAATTTGAAGCATTAGTGCATACTTCATCAACACATTATGCAGTGCTGACGAGATCTAATAAGATCGAAACCGCCGGTCCACTTGCTATGTGTTGATAAAAATGGAAAATAAATTCGTGTTTGTCAAAAACCTAATCGCTCAAGGTGGCGTTCACCTACAGAGGACATTTTTTTGATTGGTAACTTCCTGCATCTCCAGATTCGGAGATCGGAATAAAAAGTTATTTTTTAAATCTGCGAATTGTCCACAGATGGTGTTAGTATCATTATAGAGAATTTCTTTATTCGTGAATATTCCAATGAATTGCATTCGTGCATAAAAATGACCAGATAATTTTGCATTCAATAGTGTTATCTAATGCAAATTGCATTCGTTTATTTTAATTTTTTGTAAAAGAGCCCTCCTCCTTCGGACTCGGGCTCTTTCGACAAAATATGAATTTTTAGATAACACGCTCTCTTGCAAAAGTATCGGTAATTTTTATGCACTTGTGCAATTATAATTGATAATTACTCAAAACAGCAGATGAAAATATTCAATCACCATGGCCACCAGAGCACGCTACTGAGACTAGATTAATATTATTGATTTGTTTCATATCAGAATCTTCTTCTCTGTCAATGTGAAGAACTATCGTGAAGTGTCATGAGAAAGAAACGAACGTAACATTGTTAGCTCTCATGGGAGTTGTAGCCCTTCTAAGTTTGTACACTGAAGTTTTTTGCTAATATTCTTGCGATAATTGATACTATTAACATTTTGGTAGGTGGGTGTGAAATTATTCGATGAATCGTCTCGTGATTTAAAAAATGTTATACCATGTAGAGGGGCTTGCGAAATGGGGTGACATTACACTGAACATGTTCATGATCCCGATAATTCCCGAAATGAACACTTACCAAATTTACACTTTGATCATTGAAACAGAACCAGTTCTTTTCAAAATCTTTGATGTAAGCATAATAGTGTCCGCCTGATGCGCTTCCTGAATGAATCATAATACTGAATAGCTCGTAGATATAAGGGCCTTTCGCTTCCTCTTCATGATGATTCTTACCAGAGCTAACAATACCTATAAAAAGGACAAAAAATAATGAAACCTACAAATTAGAGGCCCTTCCGTCATAGAAATCATATACTTTATCTGTACTGTAGAATACTAATTTAATGGAATAAAATGTTGCCAAAAGTACGAAACGATAGTCAGTAGTAAAGGAGCAACAACAGTTCGGCGCCATTTGATCACTTTTTCCCATGTATTTCTTATGGGACACGTCGCAGGTCAAAAATAGCAAAATTTGATCTTTTTGGGGTGGGGGAAGCAAAAGACATTATCTCCATATATGATCATTTATTCATAATATTCATAATACAATATTATTAGGTTAGGTAAGGTTAGGTATAGCATAGTGTCCCCATGGTAGAGTACAGTCAGTTCCAGGAATGATATATCTCTTGTCGTCATTTGGACTCAGAGCAATTTTCTGTTGTACTATAGAATACACTTGATGTTTATCAGCCTTTATCAAATTTTGAGTGACAGCTTTCTCCTTCCAATTGTCCAAACACACGATATAGTCAGCAAAGGTTATAGATGTCGCAACAACAGATTTCTTCACACCCTTCGCCTTTTTCGTAGTTCCCAAATTTCGTAGAATTGTATCTATTTCTGAATCGTCATAATCTTCCTTCTTCAGTTTTTCACGTTTCTTCATAATATCATCTGCAGTAGTTGAAATTCTGGTCGAGTAAAGTTTTGATCTTAAGCCAACGTAATCAGTCATGAGGATTCCGTTGAATTCGTCTTTCATAATGCCGAGTACCTTCTTATTGACTTGAGGAATACCGTAGATGTTGGTGGGATGATAATCGGAGGTATCAAAGCGCTGATAGCAATCACGCTTGATTACTTCATGAGGATCTTGTCCAATAATTTCGTATATCAGGCTGTCGGTATCGGTAAAGAGAACAGAGCAATCATGAAATGTGGAAGACATATAGTCATAGTGGAAGTCATATAGGGTAGTCGTAGCTAAGTCTAAAATAGCTTGGCCAACGTAAATAGGTTTGTTGAGATAGATTTGAAGTTTCCTCAGCTCCACAGCTACCAAATTTTCATTGAAGACTGTACAGTTTTTGAATTCAGGTTTGGAAATATATGACTCAGCTCCATATCTCCCATTCCACTCAGTTAACAGCTTGACGTTGACTCTCTTCCTGATGTTTTCCATCGTCTTGCCGAAAACAGCATTGTTCATAAGTTTGAAAAGATTTTGTTCAAACTTATTTTTTGCTTGTTTACGGAGGTCAGTGTTCAGATCTATGTATGATTTCAACCATGGAGATGCTTGAACTCCAGTACTCGGTGGATCTTCCTTAGCACTAAACCATGTGCTAATGCTTGTTTGAGGGCCCGGTAGTGGATAACAAACTTATCCTTGTAGCATAGAGTCGCCATCAATTTGGTTTGTTCACGTACTGATTTAGGGGGCTTCCCTGTCTTTGGATTGATGTGTTGTGCGCAGAATGGTAGGTCCTTATGCATATCATGCAGGTGCTGCGGATAATCCAAGTCTACCTCTAGAATGTATCCTTCATCAGCATCATCTGGGATGGATGTAACGTCAATCCTATTGTCAACCCATTCGAAACTTCCATACGGAAGAGCTTGAGACATTGCCCAACCATACGAAACAAGTATATCTAAATGTACTTATCGTATTATACTCAACTTTATTATTATTATTAATACTGTTATCTCAATGTAAGTGTATTGTACAAGTATTATTATTATTATTATTATTATTTTCATCATTATTATTATTACTACAGTATATTGTGTGTATATCTATATATGATAATAAAGTTCTATTCTATACTGATTATTAACGTCGAAATACATCAAGAACGAATCAGGTTTTGATATATCATAATTGGACATATATTTGTTGTTAGCGTGGGCTCTTCTTTTAGAACAGACTTGGCTGAGACCACCTCTAACTCTTTGCTCAACGAACAGGAACATGTCGGGATCTGTGATGAGCTCCAACTCCTGATTAGTAAACTTCATCATGGCGTCCCAAGTGAATCCCGGTAGAGTGTAATAGTGGGCAGGATCAAGATCGTAGGTTTTGAGGCAGCTATTTCGAAACTGTTCGAATACGTCGGCGAGAAGGAGAATGTCAGTCATCATATACAGATCAACATACTAACCCAAGTCTTTGCAGTTGAACTTACTCCATACAAGGTTGGCACGAAGGTAAAGTCTGTTAGGGCAGGGCTCATCCTTCAATTTGTTATAAAATGCATCTATGGGAGGTAGGCAAGTTTCGTTGAAGCGCTCGAATGAATCAATATAATCATACAGCATCACACCTTTCTTAGTGAGAAGGCTGAATTGATCTTCGGGGATATTGTGGAATTGTGATTTCAAATTTGAAAATTCAGTCAGATACGAAGCCAGCGTATCAAGAGAGGAATTCATGAAGCGGAAGCTATCGATGAATCTGAATTGTATAGGTGTCTCATCAACATGTTTAGTGAAGGATATATACTTTTCCTTCGTTATAGGCAGCAAGTCGATAGTACCGTGCATTCTGGTAGCGATGTCTGTTATTAAAAAGTTTGCATCATAATTACTCAAATTATGGAACACAACAGGTACCACATGACTGTCTTTATAATTAATATTACAAGACTCGTGGGAGGGTCCTCTATAGTTGTTTTCTGGAACTAGATGGAAATGATCACGAACTTTCTTATCTTCCAGTCCAAATTGCTGCTCACAAATGTGACAATGTGTAGCTTTTTGGAACTCTGCTTCTTGTTCTGCAGTCATCTGAATGTTATAGGGACACCAAAAGACAGTAGACATATCTTCAGCTAACTTGGTCATTTCATGTGCAAACCATTCCATGCAGTCTTCTCTACGATATGAACGATAAAAGGAAATGGAGTCGAGTCGTCTAAGAGCACTTGAGGTAATACCCGACAGCGGCTGGAATATGATGCTGTGGCTTCATAGGATTTCCAGTGGGCTTTAAAACAGACTCGAGATCAGCGTAAACGATGAATGGAGCTTTTTCCTTGTTCCGATAGTTTTTGAATTTCAAAGTATTTTTTCCTACTTCAGGCATTTTTATGGCAGTTTCGTTGATTTTCACACAATTTTCAACATGTTGGTCTAGTTTTTCTTGTGACCTGAAGTAGTGAAGGCATCGATCACAGATGTATTTTTTTCCATCTTCTCGACTCAGCTGGGATGAAAGGAGTCTTGACATATCTTTGATCCAAACATAATGATTTCCAACTGCATCTCCTTGTATGAGTAACAGATTGACGTGCTTCTCCTGTTTTTCTTTTGTTAGGAAAGTTGGCAATGTTATCAATTTATCATTGATTTCCTTCAAGATATACACATTGATTGATATTCCATTCTGCTTCTCGAAGCGTTGAATCTGATTGAACGTCATAGGAAACTGAATACCCTCGAGGTTGAAAACTGTCGAAGGGGGGGGGGTACGAAGAAGTTCGTTTCAATAATATTGAAAATTGGCGAAGAGTAGACGAACAACACTAAATACTACTTCTGGATGCTGATAATTCCACTTTTTAATGTTTGGAGAGGAACCATTGATTTTCGCGAAGGATATTTAGTCAAAAAAAAATGAATTCGAGAAGCTCAGTCATGTCCAAAAATGTTCATAAATGAACGAAATGGTAGAAAACGAGAGAAAAACAACTTCTTTCCTGGATGTATATACCACGCAGAACATTGAATTACATCACTCACTTTGGGATAATTTTTTTGGTGAATTCATATCCCCTAAAACATGTAAATACATACCTCACACTTTTCGAATAATGCAAGCATGTCAATGACACCATATTGGCCACCGATTTCCAAAATGCCGGCATGAGCTACTTCCGGTTATTTAAGAGCTGAAAGATTAATCAGGTTAATTTCCTAATGAAATCGACATCTGGATCACTAATGTAGCGTCATTTTGATATATTATATCAAATTACCGTGTAGGGTTACCGTGGTGGGTTACCCTGAAAATCGAAGCCACATGTCCAAAAAATTGGTGCTGCGGGTTAAATAATTCATTTGGGTATCAAGTAAAAGTGTGGAAAGTGACTTGCTTTCTATAAAAAATGCGGTTTCTTTCTGATATTTCCGGTGTACCGCAAGCACTATCATTCATAATATTAGCTTATGACTATCGAAAAAAGCTAGTGGTGTCTCCATGTTTTCATCGAAACAGAAACAGGGGAAAAGTAGATACTCTTTCAATACTTTCCTGAATAGCTGATAGCTTGGGTTTTTTACATTTGTTGGTCGAAAAACTAATGAATTGTCACAAGATAACCCAAGTTTGAACTTGCCACCTTCAACAGTTCCTTGCTTTATACGCGGTTTTCAAGGTCATTAGATGACGTTGCGATGACATTCTAAACTACGAGAAAACATCCCAACTCCTGGGATATATTGAAAGTTAAACATGTTTTCCAGCAGCTTTAAATGTCATCGCAACATCATCTGATGACCTTGAAAACCGCGAATAGTCATGATAGTCGGCGTGTGACTCAAATGCATTCTGATTTTTGTTAATTTCAAGTAAAAGGTGGAAATTTATGATCTTGAGACCACTAGCGCATTAATAAAATAATGCATTTTACAATGTTAAGGAGGAATCTGTACAAATCACACACTTACATTTTGAAATGTCTCACAAAAATCAAAATTGATGTTGTTCAATTGAATACTAGGAATGTTTAATATTATAATTTATAATATATATAATAATAAGTGTCACTTTTTTGGTAAGATTGTAGATTTGAAGGACAAGAAAAACAGTTCACATAATTATTAATTAGTTAATCAGAAAACTAAATCAAAATGTAATTTTCCATTTTTTTCAGCTGCAAAACAACAGGAAGAAAATCCAAAGATTTTGCATCACTAGAAAAGTTATCAAGAGCTTTTTCTCCAAGATATTTCAAGAAACAAAACCAAAATATACACTAGAGAAATCTATGATTTCATCAATGTTTTAGGCTCTACAAACTCAGTTGTCAAAACAAAGAACTACAGTAGGTACTTTCTTACAACGAAGTTAAAGCCCTTTTCATATCTGAAT